AAGCCCAGAGGAGCTCCTGACAGACTGGGTAGCATTAAGCTTTGCTGCAGCGCTTCCAAAGTAGCCTCGGCTCCCACCGGTACGTCATGGGATGTGACTGGCTCAAATGTCCATTCCGTAGGCAAGTTGGCTGAGCTCTGGGTTGTCAGAAAGATTTCGGTATTCACTAAGAGGGAAAGTCGTGTCTCCATTCTCTGAATCTCAGACTGCAGATTTGTTAATGCCTTTTGACAGCGGCTACGCCTAATATAAGTTGTGACTGCTTGCCACCTCCTACGCCATCGACATCTACTCTTGATGGTCTCCAGGTTCTGGTGCAGATTCCTCAGTTTGCCACTTAACGTCTGAAAGTCGTCCTTTGTATGCTGGATTCCTTGAAGTCTATCCCTGATTGTTTTGATCTCCTGAACACATGTTTCCAGTTCCTGGCAAGCCTTCTTGTGGTGAAAAACTGCTTCCAAAATTTTTGAGGCAGTATTTCCGAGTTGCAGAATCGTAGTAGATAGCAGGCTCGTACCCACACCAACTGCAATTGATGTCGCCATCTGACCTCCTGAGAAAAGGCAGAATCAGAGAAATGCTTCAAATGCATGAAACACAGAGGAAAAGTACAGCACATGTTGATGTGTGAGGTACTTGCCAAATACCATAATGGCTACGTCACGTTTGCAATCCGACTTCAGACTTGTCTTCTTCGACATTCAGCACGAATCAGCATGCATGCAAACGGATGGTGATCACACCTGGCACCACAGCGCCCACACAACGCTTAGAGATAACGTAGCCCGGAACACAGCTCAGATTCACGCTTGTCTTGAAATGGCTATGGCGCGAAGCGCCAGACAAAGATTCCCGGCCGATCAACTGTATCACCCAGCAACTTGTTCGCACACACACACAACACACTCTGAATCACCCTGGATGTTCCGCACACACACACTCAACACAGGTATATACACATACACTAACCTCCTAACTGGCAGCTATGGCTGCCATCTACCTCCTACTGCTAACTAGCGGCTGTGGCCGCGTCTTCCTCCACTCAGCCCTCTTCTTCTTCGGGCACCTGCAGACATCCGTAACTCAAGACGCTCCGACAGCACTTCCGCACGTCTCACAGGCAGAATGAATGAATGGCTCGACACTGCCTCTTTATTTATACTTCGGACCATCATAGGGTCTGCCCTTTGACCCTGGGTCCGGGGTGCACACAGTCCCACATGGTACTTGCTGACTAGACAAAGTGAGACTGGGACTGGGTACCGCTGACTAGGCTAGGTAGGACTAGGACTGCCCTTTGCTGACTGTGCTAGGACTGCCCTTCGCTGACTCAGACGCGGGCTGACCCCTAGGACCTAGGAAGAGCCAGCCTACAGACTTCTAGAAGGTCGTGGACTTGACCTTTCAGAAGCTGTAGCAGCTACGACCTATGCTACTGCTAAGACTCCTAAACACAGACCTACGGTTCAAGACCCGACGACTGTACTACATACAACAGCTGAACATACGACTTTCAGAACACAGGTCGTGGGTTCAAACACACACGGGTCAACAGGCGCTGTACATGGGTGTAGGGGAGGTCTAGGTATGGAGCCCTGGGTACTGCATCTGCTACCGTAAAGGTGAAAACCGTTTCACGTTTGCTTGAGGCCTGCCATGATGTTTCCTAAGATGCTTCATGATTCACATGGCATCAGACGATTGGACTTCCAAAACAAAGCATTCAATCACACTGTCCATAGTGCCCAAAATTTGTGCTGTGTTGAGGCTAAACTAGACCAATATACAAGTTTCCATGACCTCCATGGAATAGTATGCAGCAAAGGCAATTCAATGCAACTTGCATAACCTGAACACATTGAACTCATGGCCTGCTTCAACCACTTGTATGCCAAATTGGACGCTTATCCTGACATATGTTGAAGGCCTGCAAAGCAGATGTGCAAAGCTCTGTGGCTTTGTGCAGGCGTGGGTAGCACACACGGCGTCACACGCCAACACATACACGTACAGGTATGGGACCCTGACCCAGCCAACAAGTGCACTTTCTTTTTTTTTTTAATTTCTATTCTTGAACACCTGAGTGGGTTGGTGATGCCCTGCAGGGTATTTTTAACTTGAGAGCTGCACGGAACCACACTGACAGGTGGCCTGT